TTTATTGTAGCTTAAATAAATTTGCACGTAGACCGTGTTTCACATGTTTGTTTATTAGTTTCTGTAAAAATTTGATTTAAGGGTTTTAAGTATGTGAAGGGCTAGCCAACATTGGAATTGGTCTTTTTTAAGACAGTTTCTTCCAACTCCGCGACTGTATTACAGTAAACAGTATACAAAAAAACAGTGGTTATGACCTGGGAATGTATTGTTTCTAAAAAAAAAAAAAAGATCTGATTTTGAGCTTGGCATAATCCATCATCTTTAATACAAAACAAAAAAGCAGAAAGCTGGCTTTTCAAGGATTATATGAAATCTTATTATTTAATCTATCTGTGAATTTTGAAGGCCATTTTATTAAATGATGAATTCTTCTAGAAAACCCAGGTTGCTGATGAAAAGCAATTGTTCATCAATGACGACTGAGAAAGAATAGTAACAAATATGCACTTAGAATCTCTGTGTGTAATTAAGGTTCACACTGAGGAATCTGCATGATGCTGATTCTTAAATCTTAATCCCCATTAATCCTAATCTTTAGATAGTCAGGCTGATGCAGATTATCTAACAGTGTTGTGCCTAACTAAAGTATGTAAGAGCACAATCTCTGACCCATTGATGGTGGTTAAATCACATGTTCATTTACAGTCTCCATGAATTATTTTGAGTTTTATAAAGTTAAAAAATACGGATGTACAAGAAACAAACATTCTTCTGAAAATGTGCTGTAAATTAAAAATGTGCTGTGATTCCTATATTTCCTTAGACTTTTACCTAATGTTCTGTGTCATCACTTTTGTTTCATTTGTTTAAATTCAACCATTACTGTAAACAGCCCAGCAACATAAAAACAATGACAGATAAATGAATTCATAAAATATCCAAAGCTCAGGTTGTCACAAGATGCCCAGTAAGTGCAATATGAACAACAGCAGTCCTCTTGGACCCATCAGACAGCACAGCTTTAAGAACCACCATCCATTGGCAGAATGAGAACCATGTAAGGCATTACTTTGGGACACCTTTGGAAGGTCTAAATGTTAGTATTATATTAACAACGGCCCCTTCAAAAACTATGCATTTTAACTTTTTTATTAGGTAGTGTTGACTTTTTCTGGGAATCCTGTTTGCCTCATCAAGCCTGGACCATCAGGCATTAGAGTGGTTTTCAACCAGTTGTGTAGCAACTGTGAAGCTTAAAGTCTTGTGCCAGCAAACTCAATCCACTTAATTCAACCAAAAAAAAACTTGATTTGTCATCTTCAGGCTGAATCACTGGCCCAAAGAAAGGAGAAGGAGTTTACGTATCTTAAGTTCTTGCTCAGTGTGGGAAGCATTGCACCTTTACCTTTACCTTTACACCAAAGCAAATCCCTGGTCTGTGAATCCTGTTCATTGACAATGGCAATAAAACTGATTCTGATTCTGATTCTGAAGAACAAAGCAAAGCATTGACAGGTAAACTGGGACATGTTGACAATGATGTGGTCACTTTACACGTGGCAAAAACAGATCAAAGACAACAAGATAGAACTCAACACCAACCCTGGCTTATGTCCCCGATTGCCATTCAGTAGTGATCAACTGTTATCAGTTTTGTTGAAATCATCAAAATCCTTCATTGTTTAAATAAGCTCATAACAGATGGACGGGGGGCTAAAATGATCGTGTCAAACTACTACACAAATGTGTTGAGCAAGTCTTCTTTATGATGCACCCAAAATTAGGTTCAGATTAGATCATACTGTGTGATTTAGAGTCACCAATGTGATGTCTAATTAGGCTACACCCTCCAAAAATTGGATTGCATTCCTGTATTGGGGTGGATTAGAATTAACCATAGCAAATTGGGTGCTGATTGGCTGAAATATGTGGAATTTAGAGGCAAGCATATGTCAACCACACGATGTCTGACTTAGCCGCACCACCATGACCATGCCTTGCATCAAAATGTCTTTGCGCTTGAAAGCAAATGAGATCAACTCATTGGGCCTCATGCAAGAACATGTTCGTATTCTTATCCTAAATTTCTCTTACTTTTGTTCGTACAAAGGGTTCGTACGAACATGTCACGTCAGATTCAACAAACTCTTCTATCGATCAGGAAAAGTGCGTAAATGAGCTGCGTAAATTCCACCTGTTCTATCCAGCTGCTCGTGCACGCGAGAGGAGATTAGCATAATTACCACCCCAAAAACACCATATAAGGCTATGTTTCCTGCCTCAGATATCAGGAAGTGTCCATTCATGAAACATGACAGCGAAAACTGAAAAAATAAAAACTTTCCGAGTTCAGAGATTGAAGTCCGTCTGTCAGAGATCCAGAAAAGAAAACCTGTCATTTTTAGCAGGTCAGCTGTGGAATAAAAAGAGCTGCTAAAAGTATAAACAACTGTGTTAAATCATTTTCATGTATTCAGAAGCCGCAGCGCTGCGCACCGTACACCCCCACCCCCACCCCCAGTGCGCTGCGCGGCGCAGGTGGTCTCAGATGCGGGTCTGACATAAGCATTTTAAAATGTTTTYAAAATAAGTCTGGCACTTTGGAGAAAATCCTGGACTTGATCATGTATCTCCTCTGGCCTGGGAACGTCTTGAGTCCCCCAGGACGAGCTGGAAGGTGTCGCTGGGGAGAGGGGGATCTCTTTACTGCTGCCACCGAGACCTGATCCCGGATAAGCGTCGGAAAACGGACGAACGGACAATTTATATTGTTAGTCTAAATTCTTACATTTAAAATTATAACTCTAATTCAAGCAGAATAACCTATTGTCAACATAATTATGGAGTGTGATTTATTTTCAACTCAAAATATCTTCAAACTAATGAAATATAAAGTTATCAGTGAAGAAAACCCGTCTGGATAACAGCAGACTGGCTGTTCGTAAAATATACGACAGGTCTGGACCACTCGTAAATTTTGTTCGTATCTGAAAAAAATCTTAGAATACGAAAACATTGGTGAATGCCACAAATTCTCCTAAATCACTCGTACGCACAATTTAAGAACAAATCTGTGCGTACGAACGGTTCTTGCATGAGGCCCAATATTTGTGTTCTGACACAATTTGTTGCTGACTAGGTCAAGGGAGTCCAAGATGGAGCTTTTCAAACAAAAAAAACCCATCACTTCCTGTTATCAGGGGGCAGAACTTTGATGATGTCAGCATATGACCACAAAGTATGGTCAGGCATGCAACATGGATGACTCATACCAAGTTTGGTGTATTTCTATGTGAAAGTTACAGCTTTCTAAAATTGTAACGGATGGAGCTCATTTCCATGCCCCCCGCCTCGGCAACGAGGGACAATAAAGAAGTTTTTTATATTTTATTTATTTAGGGGTCAGATTGTGTGCCAGTGTATCAGATATTGGATATTAGATATAATGCACATTAATATGACCCCCACTTCCATGAAAATGTTTGTAAACACTCCCCAGAGTTCCCCCACACACACACGATGTTTCATCATTATTATTTCACACTTAGTCGTTTTTTTTTAAAATGGGTGTATTGGAGAATAGTTTGTTCTCAGTCATAAAGGTACTTTAAGTCATCCAATGTGGGTCTGTCCTTTTATTGCCTTTTTGGCGAGAGATAATGAAAACAATGAGGAAATGTCTTGACACATCTGTCACTGAATCTGTTCAGTTTTGTCTTGTAGGAAACAGGTCACGTCTGCTAAACATTTCTCAACATGAATTTGTTTTGGTTCTAACTAATACAGCTTCTACAGGTAAAACCAAGATAGGCCTGATTACGGGGAAATGATTAAAACTGTGACTAAGATTGCATCTTTTGAATTATTGATTGCCAGATTACATGACTGGACTCATAAAGTCTTGTTTAGAAGAAGTTTTTGTTTAGGAGGCAGTGATTTATGATTATTTATACTTTGTTTTGAAGGTATGCTGTGTTTATGATGCTTTGTTTAGTTTGTTTAGCCTGTGGTGTTTTATTTTATGTTGATTTTGTTTGTTATAATGTTCTTTAACAATTCAAGAAACATTAAAAGGACAAAAAGTCATATAAACAGAAAAAGAACTTCACAAAGTCAGCACTAGGAAAGCTTTGGTTCCCTCTAGTGTTCATTCTGCAATGTTGCTGAACAAAGGCTTGAAAAAAAAATCTAAAAGTGCATTTTACAGTACATAGAATAATTTGATTAATCAAAAAAATGTACAGAACTAGTTTACAAAACAGTACAAATTTATTTATTTTGAAAATATGAATGCTTTACCAAATGCCGTGTTGTGACTTGTCGCTTTGTAAATAAACTTGAACTTGAACTTCTTTTTATTAAAATATATTATATATTTATATTTTAAACTGCAGTTGTACAGCGGGTAAAATAAGTATTGAACACATCAACATTTTTCTCAGTAAATATATTACTAGAGGTGCTAATGACATGAAATTTTCACCAGATGTTGGTAACAACCCAAGTGATCCATACATACAAAGAAATCAAACCATAAACGTCCAGAAATGAAGTTATTTGTAATAATGTGGAATGGCACAGGGAAAAAGTATTGAACACATGAAGAAAGGGAGGTGTAAAAAGGCATGGAAAGCCAAGACACCAGCTGAACTCTCTCAGTAATTAGAAAGCAAGCCTGCCCCTTGTCAGTGTAAGTTAATATCAGCTGGTTCAGTCCCAAATGATGGCCAGGTATCACACAAGAACCATCTGATGATGGGTAAAAGTAAAGAGCTCTCTCAAGACCTTCACAACCTTATTGTTGCAAAGCATAATGATGGCATCGGTTACAGAAGAATGTCTAAACTTCTGAAGGTTCCAGTGAGCACTGTTGGGGCCATAATTCAGAAGTGGAAAGAACATCATTTCACCATAAACCRACCACGACCAGGTGCTGTTCACAAGATTTCTGACAGAGGAGTGAAAAGAATTATCAGAAGAGTTGTCCAAGAGCCAAGGACCACTTGTGGAGAGCTTCAGAAAGACCTGGAATTAGCAGGTACGATTGTTTCAAAGAAAACAATAAGTAATGCACTGAACCACCATGGCCTGTATGCACGCTCACCACGCAAGACTCCACTGCTGAAGAAACAGCATGTTGAAGCTCCTTTAAAGTTTGCTGCACAACATTTAAACAAGCCTGTGAAATACTGGGAGAGTATAGTCTGGTCAGATGAGACCAACATTGAACTGTTTGGATGCCAGAATACACATCATGTTTGGAGGTCAAATGGCACTGCACATCAGCCCAAAAATACCATACCAACAGTGAAGTTTGGAGGTGGGAACATCATGGTGTGGGGCTGTTTTTCAGCATATGGTACTGGCAAACTTCAAATAATTGAAGGAAGGATGAGTGGAAAAATGTACAGAGACATTCTTGATAAAAATCTGCTTCCATCTACCAGGATGATGAAGATGAAACGTGGCTGGACATTTCAGCAAGACAATGAGCCCAAACACAAAGCCAAGGAAACTCTCAGTTGGTTTCAGAGAAAGAAACTAAAGCTGCTGGAATGGCCCAGCCAATCACCTGACCTGAATCCAACAGAAAACCTATGGAAAGAACTAAAGATCAGAGTTCATAGAAGAGGTCCACGAAACCTTCAAGATTTGAAGACTGTTTGTGGAAGAATGGGCCAAAATCACACCTGAGCAATGCATGCCACTAGTTTCTCCATACAGGAGGCGTCTTGAAGCTGTCATTGACAACAAAGGCTTTTGTACAAAGTATTAGATAAATTTCAGTAAGTGTGTTCAATACTTTTTCCCTGTGCCATTCCACATTATTACAAATAACTTCATTTCTGGACATTTATGATTTCTTTGTATGTATGGATCACTTGGGTTGTTACCAACATCTGGTGAAAATTTCATGTCATTAGCACCTCTAGTTATATATTTACTGAGAAAAATGTTGATGTGTTCAATGCTTATTTTACCCGCTGTATACTGTATATCCTTAGAAGTAAACTCTCAAAACTCAGCCAGGCTTAATGTCAAAGAAGAGTACAGACTGACATTGAGCAGCTGAGACACCTCAATAGTTCAGCCCTTTTAAAATATGTTTTGTGTAGAAATTATTTCATCTAAAATATATTACATCAGTTTGCAGAAACAAAGTAAATATTTCAGACAGGGTTGACAAGCTAGTGGCTAGTACTCCAAGCATATGAGTACAACACACACCAGGTCATGGAACAGTTAAGCAATCATCCCATTACTTTTATTCCTTTAAAAGGTGTGAGGCACCTATAAACTGTTATTTGTACCTGAAGCTGCAATCTGAAGTCAAGGCTTAATTTTTGTCATTGTAAACTATATTTATTTATTTATATACTGTCCTAATTTAGATTAACTTAAAGTGTGCATACTCAAATGTTTGGTTTATTTGCAAAAACATTCTTTAAATTTGAATGAGCTTGAATTTTATTTTAAAATCAAAATACCTTAGCTATCACATATATGAGACAAGTTTTTTTGTTGTTGTTGTTKTTTAGTTTAGGATTTTTTTCATCACAGTGGTGGTCTAAGAGAAGAGTTATTTTATGGTTGCAGCAGTTCTCTTTGTTTTGACCCTGGAGGGAGGGAGTATACAGACTGGCTGATAAAAGCTGATCAAAACTTCTCTATTGACTGTTTCATGAAGGACTACACAGTTATACCTGCAGCTATTTGTGTGTGTGTGTGTGTGTGTGTGTGTGGTGGGGGGGACTAAAGTCTGTGATTTATGTCTTTGTACAAACATGCTGGTATGAGAATGTGTTGTAAGTTCATGAGAATGAATGTGTGTGCTTACACATGCAGCACAAAGTCAACATTTCCTGTCAACAGGACACACATTTAGAGACACTGCCCTCTTCTGGCCTTAAGATAGAATAGATTTTTGAGAACAGATTTGGATCTGGAAATCTCCAGATATTTTACAGTGTAATATTTCTGTGTACTGTGCATTGGTTAGTACTGTTACCTCATTGRTGAAACAACACATGCTGAAATCTCAGCTGTTGTCCTCCAGTACAGAGTTTGCAGTTTTCACTTATTTTACCACTAAGCTAGTTTGAGGATTTGGAAACTTGAAAATAACTAATTGGAAATTAGAAATGAAATATTTTGCTTTTATGTTCATTTGCTTTGATAGTAGGCCAGCTAGCTGTTAACTTACTAGATCATGTGATTTAGCCTTAGACAAATCCTAGAGTTCAAAGATGTTAAATGTTAATACAAAGGAAAGCTTTGTGTTTGCTTTGCAAAGATTGTCTATTTTCATTCAAGGAAGACAAATCATGTTTTTGTAGTAAACTYGTAATTTAAATTTAAAATATGTAACTTTAGTGGAAATATTCAAATACTTTGTAATCTATACAAGTTTGAATAGTTATAGTCTTGACAGTATTTTCTGTTTGTGACCTTATTGCTGCTTTATTCTGAAAGAATATTAAAGCAGAAACAAGTGAGCTGTATTTTCACTGCCAGAACATCTGCTCACTTCTCCTCACTGAAGTGAGCAGATGTGATCACAATAACAGGCTGCACAAGAACTAAAAGTCTTGCATAAAAGGCAGCAGGTATGCACTTCTTCACAAAATTTTAGGTCTTTTTTATATGTTTAATTGAAATTACTTAAAGGTCAGGTGCCACTATGATGTGTTTAGCGAGGAGGTGGGACTTAAACCACACGTTATTGTGTGTAGACTGATTAAAAAGCAAACATGGCCTGTAAAACTGGAATTTGTGATTTTAACTTTCAACTACAGAGGAAAGTGAGATATTACTCATCAACCTACAAACCAATAACTGGATAAGTAAATTCACATCACTGCATGTTAAAAGTTTGTTTTAAAAATGAATCAAAACACAGGAACTGTTTTTATATCAATTATTTTATACTTTATTTCCATTTATAAGTTTACATCTCAAGTTAACAGGTTAAATCACAGCCTATTGGGGCTTCTGGATTGTCAGTGTACTGCATCAGCTGTAGGGTGAAAGGACATGGCACTAAGCTTGAGAGACATCGGATAGGACTAAAAACACAGGAAAAACAGGATAAATTTGTTGTTACTGTTGTCAGGTTCCACACTCAGCTCAATCAACACACTATCATCATCATCATCATCATCATCATCATCATCATCATCATCATCATCATCATCATCCTTGTTGTTATCATCATTCGGTCCAGGGCTGGTGTGCAGAAGGGAATGCTGGGAACTTGGAGAACTCAAGTGCATTGGACCTGAAAGAGAAAAACAGAGATGAGTCAGAAAGGCAGAGAAAGTACCGGCACAATAACATTTGTATCAAATTTATCGATTAGAAACGACACTTCCTTATAGTGCCCGTAAGGTGACRTTGCATTAAAAAAAAGTTGAATGTGTGTCCACAAGATAATTTTAAAGAGGCAGTGTCACTTTGTGAGAGATACAGATGTTACTGGAGTCAGATTATAGGTATATGTTGTTTCGGTGCTTAAATGTTCGAATGCATTATTATTA